TGTCCTTTGCCCACTGCGAACAACTATGTTCTGATGTGGGTCATTTTCTCACTGCCTAAAAAACAAGCAGACAGAGGAATGTGGCAATTAAAATAACTTGAGAGCACAGTTTTCTTTTTCTTTCTGTATAAACATGTTTCCACAACCCTATTTATTTACGAGGTTGAGAAAGTAGATGGGTGGAAGGATATTTTGATATTCAATTCGATTTAATAGGTTGACACAGATGCAACAAAAGACTTGATAAGATGTGTAATGCTTAAAAAACACCTGGTCAAACAAATTCGCATCCTAGAGAGGCTGCGTCCTCCAGAAGTGAAAATGGGGAGAGGATCGCCAATTTGGCAAACACTGTGGGCAAACTGGATGCTGTGAATTTTGGGGTTTCATCATCTACAATTCAACAATAGATCAATAAAAGATTCAAAAGTCATTAATGAGTGTTTTTAAACTCGAGGCACTCAGGGAGCCATGCATTAGAAACAGATTGCGATTCTGCAATTTAACGCACTAAAAAAACCACACTGCTTAACATCACCATCAACACTGTCCTGGAAATCTGAGACATTCCCAGTGCTTGATAGATCCATCCATCCATCTGAGTCAATTTGTTTAAATTTCAGTAAACCAAAATATTTTGTCACATCTACTTTTAGGTTTTAGTTTCCTTTTAGTTAACTACAATAATCTTGTTGTTATCATACTTTGAAAAGTGTGACATTGACTCAAATGCAATTTTATAGTCATCAGTTAAGCTAACACAGGATGCTAGAATACCTGGAGAGAACACAACATGAAATCTTCTTAAAATCAAAAGTATGGAATTATACGGAGCCCCACAAGGGACACGGGGGAATATAAAAATTAAGACGAACTTTTGCGAGATGTTGCAAAGTTTTGCGAGCTCTTCGAACTGGTAGATAAGACATCTCCGAAAACGTCGGAGCAATTTTGCAAATATGCGATGTCTTGATAAACGGAGCAGATATTTGACGTTTTCACAGCTACATTCTGAAAATATCGTAAAAGTTTATTTTGTGACCCAGAAATGATAATATTAAAACTAAGTAGCTGCCGCCATTGTTGGAAACTGGAATTGGCTGGGCTGCACTATGAATTCTGGGATAGGTGACGAGCCAGGCGACGAAAGCTGTCCCAATTCGAAAGCTTAGTTTTAATATTACTCTTTCTGGGTCACAAAATAAACTTTTAAGATATTTTCAAGTGAGAAGGTATCTGTTTAAACTTAAAATATCTGCTCGGTTTATCAAGACATCACATATTTGCAAAAGACGTCTGTTACTCACCAGTTTGACGTTTTGCGAGATCTCGCAAAAATTCAACTTGTTTTTTTTTTCACCATGTCCCTTGCAGGGCTCCATAGAATTATAATAGAGGTTATCTGTCCTACAGATAAAGCTTGGCTTTAGCTATGCCATGCACAGTGGTGTTGTGGTATCACTGTAGCTTTACAAAACTCCCAAGTTTGAGTCCCCCGAGATTAAATGATATTTGTTTCAATAAGACGCAGTGGATGCAGTATCTAAATAATATACCTTGTATGTATTGTCCAGTAATGGGTTTAAATGTAGCTCTTGTCTTTTGAAAGTTGGAGTGCTGCATGATGTTTTGCCAGCATTAATTATGAAAACTTTTGTGTTTTTTGAGTGCTTCTGTGGCAGACTTTGAACAGAGTCATCTGCTTCTACTTTTTCCCCCAACTCTGCGCCTCGCTTCTCGTAGTTAACTCTCCTCGGAGACAATTTAGGCAGCACAGCCACAATGAGAGGGAGAATTAGCAGCCAATTACAGCCAAATAGACTTGCTGTGGATGTGGAGCTCAAGAGTGTTTGGAATAAAGTTTAATTTTGTGTTTCGCTGCAAGATATCCTTTAAAAAATATCTTTGTGCAAGATTACTTAAAGTCATTTCTTCCTCACCTGCCTCTCATCGTAAATAATGCTTCCTTTCATTTAGCTTTAAAATAGATCTAAGAAAGTGTGTCAAATTCATGTTTTGCTGATGGGTACAACACAGCAGTGATTCAACAAACAAGCATTTACCTTCCACACTCTAATGAAGGTTTTTCCACATTTCAGTCTAACCCGTAGGGTGACCCTTGCTCTCAGAGCATCGAAGATCAGCAGATGGTCTCTTGGCAACAACTGAAAGAAGTCAAGGGAGCAAGCAAACAGACTGGATTTGATTTACTCGGTGAAAGGACGAATGCTTCACTGTCAGCAAATCTTTACCAGAACTGCCTGTTTAAAATCTTTTCATATCATTTGATTGAGAATAATAATGGTAATTAATTATTGATTTGGGTTGTTTATACTCAAGGTGTAACTGACTTAGATTTAGGTGAAAAAAGAAGTTAATGAGGTGAAGACATAGTGACAGGAGGTTGAATGTCAAACTTGAATGGAAAAAGTCACATATTTTCTGTGCTTTTAAAAAGTCTATTTAATGCACAAGGGCAGAAAAGGAAAGTGTCATGGTCGGCTGTGTGGCAGGCAGGCTGGAGTGGTGGACCCAAAATGCAGGACTCTTTGGAGACAAGATTTAAACTGAAAACGCAGCCTTATTGCTGGACAAACGTCTACATAAAATAAGACTCACAAAAGCAAAACAAAACTCTAAACTGAGGTGCTGGAGGACTGGAAATCATGAACACACAGCAAGTACAACGCAACAGGGAGCACAGGAAAACACAGGGCTTATATACACCGGGGAGTAATCAGGGAATGGGCAACAAGAGGGAGACACAGCTGGGAGAAATCAGGCTAACAAGACAGGGGAGAGGTAAAACTGAACGCACTGACATGAGACATGAACTTTCAAAGTAAAACAGGAAACCAGAAACCATCACACACAGACTCAACACTGAGAGGCAGACAGAAAATAACGCATGGAACCCAAACTATACATGAGGCAACAAATCCTTAAACACGAACAAACAGAAACCTAGAAATCCAATAACAATCAAAGCACAAGAGTATCAAAGGGCAGCCCATAGTGCAAAAATAAACCAAAACATCAGAAACTCAAAATGCTGGGTCGAACCGACCCAGAACCGTGACAGAAAGAAAGATAAGGGTCTACGGGTAAAATAACATGATTTTGAGGATTTGGTTTGAAAAGCCCCATGAAACACCTCTCATACAAGGTCAGTGTGTGTGTTGCTGGTTAACTACACATAACTAGTTTAAAAGTTTCTAAAGCATCCTGACAATCCTGCAACAGAGTAATGATGCAGGGTTTGAGTCACCTCCGGGTCAGAAACGTCTAGCCTCCAGTTTTCAAAGTATTATAAAACTATTATCAAAGTCCTTTGGCAGGAAAACTCAGGTAGAAGCAGAAAAGAGGTTTCCAAAGAAACATTTAAAGTCTCAGACTCACTGTAGATATTGCAGTTCACTCTGAGGGGATTATGAATACTTTGACAAAAGTGTTTGAGATGTTTCACTGAAGACATCAAGGTGAACGTCACTGGCGATGCTGAAGAAAAGAAAAATGTGTCCTACAGTAATCGTGCATGCGGATTTTATAGTTTTTCGCTTAAATGGGGAAATCCTTGATTTCCCAGGGGCATACAAGGAGGTATCAAGGGACCCATCCCCTGGGCACCATGAATGCGTGTGCTGCCATGATAATCAATTTAGTAGTTATTGTATTTCATTTTGAACAGCTTCTAAGTGATGAACTATAGATTATGCACTTAAAATCTGCAGTCGTTAGAGCGGAAAGTAAATTTGAAGTTTAGTCTGAACCATAGACTCACTCACCTCTCTACAAAGGAAATGCTTTAATAATTCCTGTTTTGTTTACATATGAAGTTACAGCTTTCTGGAAAAATCCAGCATCTAGTGCAATAGTTTGTACAGATGGATAAAACTGCTCTGTTGCGCGCTGAAATATTAACATGATCCACAAGCCAAATAATCAGATGTCTCCGTCTTACTCTCGCTCCTCTCTGCAGGTCGTGGGATGAGTTCCATGACTGCGCTAACGTGGCGATGGCTGGCTGTCCCGAGGAAGCGGCAGCTGTCTGGGAGTCTCTCCGCCAGGAGTCTAAGAAAATGCAGTTCTCCGGAAACCTTTATGACATGTGCTCCAACCGTAACACCCACCCAGCGGCCTCGGTGTCCCCTAACGGCTCACCCAACCAAGAAGAGATCAACCAGGAGTCTCTAAGAGGGAGGGCCTATCACGTGGCAGGCTGCCTCCACTATCTCCTTCTACTGTCTCCTCTGCTGCTGCTGTTGTTGTTTTGGATATAAATACCCCCAAAGAAATGGGATTAGTGTGAATAGATATAAACTTTGTGTACTTTTTCTTCCACGATTCCATAGACTTTTCACTGCTTCTTCCTCTGCTCTGCCAGGGGTCGAATATTTCTAACTGCATGTTCAGAGGCTCAACAGTCTTTTTGATAATATATCTCTAAATTGCCTGTGCCGTTTCATGCATATTCTCTGCCTATTAATTAGATTCTCAGTTGAAAAAAAGCTCACAAAACTCACCGAGAGATACACAAGCCCTGCAAACACATACATAGTTGAGCAGATGCATACTGCAGCCTCGCATCATCCGTCTTTATCCTGTATCCTTCTAAATCTAGTTAGTACGAGCTTGCATGTGATGGTTTCAGGGTGAGTCTGTCTCCTTGAATGCAATAAGATAAGAGATTAATAAGAGAAATGTAATAACTAAGACTTGTTTGATAAACTTAAAAACAAAGCGATGAAAAGACTAGGTGCCACAACTAGTTACTGTTAACCCCACTTTTATGTGGGCTTTACATGATGAACAACACCCATTTCCTATTTACTAAATGCAGACACAGTGCTGGGTGTGAGTAGTTAAGATATAATGATGGTGATAATGATGTAGTTCTAATGTTCCGAAATTAGTTTTTCAGACTACAAAGTAATTGGAGTCATAAATTACACTTGCTGTAAATGGAGCTAACTTTGAAGCTAACTAATTTTGAATAATGTTCTTATTTAGAGAAAATGCATCACAGTGTCTTCTGTGGGTGCAGGAGCAACACGAGCTCTGAGCTGAAGTTCAATTGAAGTCAGAGTATGCCGGAGTGGTTTTTATTTGCTGCTTGCTCAGTTATGAAGTCCTCTGGGGCTCCTCCTTGGCATCCTGCATTGGAGCCCTACAGTATGGGACCAATATGTTCTCCAGTCAGAAACACAACCCACTTGCATGCCAAGTGGATTTCATGCTCCAGGAGTCATAGATTTGGCCCTGCAGGCCTGCTTGAGCTGCTTGTTATTCTAAGTGGTTGCAGGTAACAGTTGTTTCTGTCTGGCCCAGGATCATCTATATTATGAGATTAGAGACAGATAGAGAGTGAGAGAGATGAGTACAGCTGGAAAACATACAGTTCTGCCTAGTTGAAGATTGAATCCACTTGTCTCGCAGCGAGTGTGTTTTACACAGGGGGCTTTAGGTTGCAAGTTTACTTTTCCTTCTCTACAAAAAAAAAAAAAAAATCAAAGCCAGGTCAACTTTAAAGAGTTACGCTAAGATGTGTGGATGCACAACACATAATCCTCAAGGGACCACAACAGTGCACCAACTTTAAGAGAGGTGGAAATAAATGAAATTTATTAGACAAAAAAGATCCAAAGAGAGCTGCGTAATAGCTGATTGAGTCTGTCTACCTTGCCAGTGGCAAGTTCGTTAAATGTACCTTACAGAGTTGAATAGAAGCCGAGAGGCATTTCAAACAGATTTATGGATGGGTGACAAATGAAAGAAAAACGTAACATAAAGTGCGTCTTGATTTTCCAAGTCTCTGGAACTCTGCTTGAGGGATGAAACATCATTCTCCCAAAGATATTCCCTTTATTTGGTGTTTTGATGATGGCAGTGAGGAGTGCTGTGTAACAAAGCAGCCCGAAATATCCTGGAGGTTCAACGGGGTTGACATTGAATGAGAAGGTCATAGCAAATGAATCACACTTTTCCTTTCCCATGTCCATTCAGCGACCCCTTGTTTACTATAAATGGCTGAATTATCATTCTGGAACAGTTCATACACTGTATATAAAAGATAGACATAGCCACCATGATAACAACCACGGGTCTGTGAAGTCTTACCATGAAGCCTAGAGCTGAATATTGTTCTGGTTGCATTTTATGTTTTGAAATCAGACTGAGACTGAAAAATTCAAGAGACACGGCACATATATGTTGTAGCAACATTGCACAAGGGTCCTTGTGGACGTCCATGTGCATGCCTGTGTTTTTGACCATGTGGACTGATGCACAGAGAATTTACATTGCAATGCACCAACCTAACCAGCTCCCCAAGCAACAGACTTCAAGCAGATTTCAAAGATGTATAATAACAAATATAGAAGTATATAAGAAGTAAAAATAAGTATGTCTCCATCTGCATTCACAACAGTGAAGCCAAAGGAAACCAAGGAAAACAAAATACATTTTTCTTATAGATTCACCTATAAATCGAGTTCTTTTTGCAAATAGCAGATTCACCCCCTACTGGCCAACAGACGGAGGAACATGCAGGAGGAATCAGTGGTACTGAACAGGCCAATCACAATAACGTGGGCGTGTCGAGGACACAGATAGTTACATTTCGAGAGATGTGCATGCCAGGTTGCATTGTAGAGTTTCGGAGAGGTTTGTGGTTCTGGTGTAGTTGCCACGGTAACAGTGCAAAATGCAAATGTAACAGAAGAGATGAGGGTCACATATATAAAAGTGTATTTTCAGTTCTTGTACCACAGTCTTAGGGAGCAGAGGGGGTGTTGTGCTTTTTACTGCCCGTGGTAAGGAACAGTCTTTTAATCTGTTGGTTCGCCACGCTGGCTTCCTTTGCAGACCTCAAGTATGTCCATCTTTTATATACAGTCTATTGAAAGACCTTTTCCAACAGGATAGTAATGTTTCAGCTTAGACTAAATTACTAAAACAACCTTTATATATTTTTACATATATACTTTTTTATATAACTGGACTAAACCCGTGTAGTAAAATGCTCCGACAGCATAATAGGATGTGCTCACAGTAGTAGTAAAAGGTTCAGGTTTTTCCTATCTCCGTTCTCGGCTATTTATTTATGCAGTAATTTAGTTTGGGACATCAATGTCAAAAGCAAACTTTGCCCTACAAGCTCAAAAGCTCAGTACAACTGAAACTCCAACAAATATTACATTTTTAATCATTTTTTAAATGTTAAGAATAAACAGCAGCAGGAACCCACTGACAGAAACAGTGAGACAAATTTACACTAAAAGAGAAAAACTCCAACCATCCCACAGCTCCTTTTTTACATGAGGGACTTCATCCACAGATATGCTTGAATTTTTTAAAGAGGCTGCTCCAGTTTTGAACTTTAATTAAACTGACAGAATTAGCAATTAAGAGGCCTCAATGGCTGACTCACTAAGGTGCAGCAATTTGAGAACTATCTTCATGGAGCTCTGATAAGATGATGCAACTGGAGATTAAATTTAAGTAAATCCTAAATGTGAGGACACACAGGAAGATCACACAAGACGTGTTTGTATAAAATCCTACAGCACAGTGAGTGCTGTCAACATGTCCCAGGGTGGTTTATGGAAATGTAACAGGTTTAGACCTGCCTTTAAAGACTCTTACATACAGAGGTACTCCAAAACACAAAGAAACCTTCTCAACTCTGTTATGAGAAGTTCTGTTGCATGAACAAATCCGATTTCAGCGATTTTTCAATAACTGCAGTGTAAATGCAACATTATTGACCAAAGCTGAGCAGGGAATTATTTCCCAGCACTGCATTTGAGACTATACATCTCTTTGCCTCCGGCAACAGCTTGGTGTTCTGACAAATAGCTTAAATTGGACTGAAAGGGTGGCAGGAGATGGAGAAGCAATCTTAAACACCAGTACATCACTGTCCCATCAATGGTACACTATATTTGGCTTTATTACTCTGAGCAAATGGCAGTGAAAACAACAAACATGTTGCCATTTATTCATTTCCTCTGCAGCACATTTTGATTGCTACAGAAGAGAATAAATATGGTTAGGGGCTGGGGTTTCCATTTCCTTTTAAATGCTTTATTAAAGAACCAGACTCCTCTGATACGATCCTTTTTCAATCAGCACAACTTTGCTCCGCTCTTTGTCTTTATGACCTGCAGGATCACAGTCCCACTTCTTTCACTAATTATTAATTGTTAACAGAGACACAGAAAGCCAAAAGTTTCACGCTGATCCATCATCAACTCGCTCACACTACAAATTAAAAAATTAAAATTAAAAAAGTTTTGTTAGCCTATTTAGCGATGCATGGTTATGAATGCGGAGCTGTTTCTTTGAATCATACAAACTCTGCATTTCTAAAGAGATGATAGAGAAAGTGAAATTTGTGCATCTTTTAATAACAGCTGATTCAGTTTTGGGCTTTTTAGGAAACCAGGAATCTTTGCTCACCAGGTGACAGACACTCTTACTGTCTTTGTTTATCATCCTGGCAATGTTTGTTTTTATTTATAATTCATAAATTCTTTACTACTGTTGAAGAAAGCAGGGTTCACCAACACGTATTTGCTCTACCTTCCTAATTAATCATATTATAAATGTGATATGTGAACACAATGATTTTTGTGTTTCAGAGACAAAGATGTAGATATCAAACGGAGACAAGGCACACACACACACACACGCACACGCACACACACACACACATATATATATATACAGAGAAGAATGATTGTTTTCCTGATCTTGTTACTCGCTCCTCAAAAAGGAAGCACTTAAGTTTTTAAATACAGCAGTCAAACCAACAGAGAGTAGGGGTGATATCACTCACGGGGGCTCGTTCAGCTGCAATAAAAGTTAATCAGTTTCTAGTCTATTTTTCCATCAGCAAACTCACCTGGGTTTTTCCAATATCAATACACATTTTTAGTGGGAAAAAAAAATCCATTTAGTAAAAAGAATTACACACAGGGTTACCGAAGGACCTCCAACACACAGTTCTCCAAACTCGTTTATTGTTATCAAGCTTTAACTGAAGCACAGATGTGATCTAATTCGGATGCTCATTTTTCTGACTTTAATGGAGATCTCCTTTAGGGATATGCTGACTAACTCATCCTGTATATTCATAGACTGATTTGTATGTGAGGGTTATAGATAGCTTTCCTTTTTGTGTTCATTCTGGAGGGATCGTAGCAAAAATCGAGCAC